CAATAATTTCGTTTTGGAAGTTTGTCCACTTTGTGTTCTCCCCCCCCCCCCCTCTGAACACACAAAACACACTCTGTTTTTGCATTTTCTGAAATTTCTCTCTCTCTCTCTCTTTTTCTTGAAATCAGGTTCCTTTTCCGATTTAAAGGAAAAGAGGACGAGGTTTCCTTGGCAGGGGACGGAAAGGAGGCGGCTGAGTTTTCTGAGTGGAAGTGGGCACCTGCAGAGGATGTAATTAAACAGGTACAGTGCTTTAAAAAAAAAAAAAAACAAGTTACCCTCGCAAAAGTACTGTTGTTGCTGAACCTTTTACTGATTTACTCCCAACCTTATTCCATTCACTGCCTGATTGCAACCGGTCCCCTCCCCCCTTTCCCCCCTTCCCCCCTTCTCCCCCCCCTTGCCCCGCCTTTCTCTCCTAATCACCTCCATCCGTTCCTTTTCTCTCTCACTCTGCCTCTCTTTTTCTGCCTGCTTTTGCCTGTTCTTGTTTTTGTTTTTTTTTCTATCCTTTTATTTTTGGTTTTTGTTTTTGTTAAAATTGGACCATTTCTCAATTTATGCGTCGCCAAGAGTGGGGTCATCTGCTTCGTCCTCTTACTTTTGTCCATACACGTACGTATACCAAGGATGTGTTTGCGGTGCTTGTTAGGTCATGTAACAGCAAACACATCCTTGGTATATAATATATATGTACGTGTAAGTGTATGCACAAACATCCAGGGAGAGGGGGTCATGTGAAATAGCGTTGAGGGTAGGTGCACACATCCCGAAGAATATCCCTGTGGGTGGGTGACACTCGGTGATGTTGGGCGATACCTGCCTGCCAAGTGGGACAGGCATGAGATTCTTGCGCTTTGTATAAAGCACCGTTCATATAAAACACCGGTGGGTATGCTCACACTAGGACATTCCCTGCATGTATCGGACCACAATTGCTTCCAGATTAGGTCCAGAAAGTCCTGGTATTGTCAGTATGGCCTTAGAAGCCCGTCTTTCCTTCCCATCAGTTTAATCACCCGGGCTCCTCCTTGGTTTTAGACTCACCACCTCCACTCTCCCATTCAATGATTTTGTGACATTGACTGGCAAATTGTACACTGCTTGTTCACGTTGCGGTTGTGCTGTTGCTGCTGCTGCTGCTGCTGCTGTGGTTGTAATCGTCCTCTTCATTATTACTAAAGTCTTTCCCCGTGCACAAAGCACCCTGATAATGACTGTACACAAGCTATCTTTCCGGCTTGATGCATGCATTTTGAGGGTGCGTTTTGTCTCGGGGAAGACGGTATAAATACAACTACACGATTTGACAAAATTTGCCAGTCAAAATTACACCTGAGTTGGTTCCTGCTTCTTGTTCTTCTTCTTGTTCTTCTCCTCGTACGTCTTCTTGTTCGTCTTCTTGTTCTTCTTCTTGTTCTTCATGTTCTTCTTCTTGTTCTTCTCCTTGTACTTCTTTTTGTTTGTCTTCTTGTTCTTCTTTGTTGTTCTCCTCCCGTAATTTTTGCCCCCGCCCAACAATAGGGGGAGGTCGCGGTCGTACCACGGCCGGCCCCGGCTGCCCGCTCAGGTCACCCGGTCACCCTCCGGTCACCGGGATGCCCCCGGTCATGACCAACGGTGATACATAGTCTTCTTGTTCTTCTTCTTGTCCTTCTTCTTCGTCCTTCGTCTGTGGTCTTCTTCTTCGTCCTTCTTCTGTGGTCGTCTTCTTGTTCTTCTTCTTGTCCCTTTTCTTCGTCCTTCTTCGGTGGTCTTCAGCCAGGTGAAACGCGCGTCGGGGAACGTGCGCGTTGAGCTGATTGTCCGTGTAGGTGCTATACTGCTCATCATTGAGACATGGACGCGTAGCGATTGGCCTCGCTGCTTCAATCCAATTCAATTCTTCTTCGTCCTTCTTCTCTGGTCTTCTTCTTGTTCTTCTTCTTCGTCCTTCTTCTGTGGTCTTCTTCTTGTTCTTCTTCATGTCCTCCTTTGCGAGTAGCTCTGGAGGTGGTTGTGTTAACAAGGGCTTGGCATATTAGGTGAAATGGAGGTTGTTTGTTTGCTCTCTGGCTACCGTCTTCATCCCGAATAGAACACCCGGTAGTTATCGCCGTATCTGGGCTGAAAGTTGTTCCAAATACAGCTATGATGACCGGGCGTTCTATTCGGGTGAAGACGGTAGGTAGAATGCTATTGGTTGACACTCTCTGATCGGGTCTGACGTACAGTCGCCAACTGTGCATAACCTTTTCAGAAATCCGATTTGATTTCCGCTTGCATCGGAGTGGCTGCCTCCCATAGCTCGGGATCTGCTTTGTTCCTCAGTTATGTGGAGATGGTGGATTGTTGTGCTTCGCCATTATGGTTTAAGCAATCTGCTTGCCAATGCTGGGAACAGGCAGTGTTTGTCTGCATCGTTCTCATTTCTCGTTCTTGCTGTCGTTGTTATAATCACCACTGCCATTGTCATGTTGCTGTAGTTGCATTGGTCATTCTCGCATCTGTCACTGATGTTGTTGTCACCGATGTTATCGTCATTGTTGCTTTCCAATGAGACGGAGTTCTGGGAGATCTGTGTGGGGAATGGCATCTGTATGGTATCTGTGTGACATCTGTCTGATTTCTGTCTGGCACCTGTGCGGCATGTGTGAGGCATCTGTGCGGCACCTGTGCGGTATCTGTGAAGCATGTGTGTGACATGGGTATGGCATGTGTGTGGCCTGTGAGTGGCATTTTTGTGGCATCTGTGTGACATTAATGTGATGCATGTGACATGTGTGTGGCATCTGTATGGCATCTGTGAAGCATCTGTGCACCATCTGTGTGCCATCTGTGACGCATGTGTGTGATGTGTATGGCCTGTGGCATTTGTGTGGCGTTTGTGTGGCATTTGTGTGGCATTTGTGTGGCATTTGTGTGGCTTTGTGTGGCATTTGTGCGGCCTGTGTGCCACCTGTGCGACATCTTTGGGACATCTATGCGTATGTGACATCTATGTGACATTTATGTGACATCTTGTGTGGCATCTGAGTGGCATCTGTGTGGCATGTTTGCGACATGTGTATGCCACTGCATGGCACATGTGTGACATGTGTCTGGCATGTGTCGGCATGGGTGTGGGCATCTGTGTGGCATCTGTGTGGGGAGTACATCGGTGTGTCCCAACAGGCGGTGGATTTCAAGAGACCGGTTTACGAACAGGTTTTCCAACATTTTGTCCCTTTGCTAGGGTCAAAACAGGCCATCAAATAAAACGGCGGGCTGCATCATATGAGGGGGCTTTTGATGGCCTGTTTTGACAAATAGTGGGCTGGGCTGCATCAAATTTGGTGAAGATGGTGTTATCAGCACACTAAGAAGAATTTGGAAGGTGGTAAAGCTCACAGAGGTAAGGAGAGTTGTCTCTGTGGGAGAAGAAGTGCCACCCACCAGCAGCAGTGCCAGAAGCAGCAGCTCAAGTTTCGATTGCAGAGCTGTTGGGAATCGGAATTCTCACCTTTAATATATTCTATTTTGAAGTTTGTTTTTTCACAATTTTTCAGTGTTGATTATTGCTTTTTTTGAAATTTTCTTCTTTTTTTGGGGGGG